CCACCACCTTCGAGTTCACTGATCTGCCATCTGCTCACAGGCTTCATGTTGGCTTTTTTTTATCCCTACTTTTCACATTTTTGGTCTCCGACCCTGATTTCCAGATTTGCTGTTCCTGAAAAGGAGCTCAGCAGCTGGGGTCGACAGGATCATCACATTCCCACCAGCTGCTTCTCCCCCACTTAACGTACGTGCAGTGTTGGAAGGAGGCCTACGAACTTCCAGCTCCATCAGGCGATATCTCAGCTAGGTTGACAATTTTTTACAAGCTCTTGTTTAAAATAAGGGAGAAGAGCGATGGCTCCCAAGCAGATTCTGAATTTAGAGACCACCCTCTGCTCATTGGCCATTAGTTTTAAAGGTTGAGATGAAACAGGGAAGGGCCTGAAAGTAGGAGGCCATCCTCTGCTGAGACCCACTGGAGGCTCCAGAGAAATGCCCCTGTGCTGGATGTGACTGAGGAGTACCACACAGTCCAGGGAACGCAGGTGGAGGACTTGCAATCTTCTTTCTCTTGAGACATGTGGTGTGGGATGGGGTGCAGGTCAGGGACACTCTTTCCCTGCCTTGAGGACACAAGAGCCATACTGCACCCATGGCAGGAAGGGGCTAGGAAGGTCAGCCCTTGCTTGCCCCTCCGAGGTGAATTTTTGAAGGCATGACTCCCCCACTGTCATCATCTGCCCTCCAGGACTCAATGCAGCTCCCACTGGGGACAGGTGCAGTGGGAAGTTCTTTTAGAACACAGTGGAAAACTAATTCACCCCAAAGGACCCCTCCCTAACTCTCTGGCAGGCTTTTGTGAAAAGCCCTTTTGAAATGAGGCACAAAGGGGAGACTGTGAGCCCTTCCCAAGGCTCTGTGCAGGAGTCACAGCACCCACTGCAGCCAGAGGTTTAGAGAGGTAGCTCTCACTGCCACCACACGACTGGCTTTCATAGCTACAAGCTAATAGCTGTGACAAAGGAGTTATTAAAGTGTTAAATATTTCATTTAGAAGGGAACCTTGCAGCCACTTTAGAAAGAAAACTCAGAACTCATCTGTGGAAAGCTGCCATCTGTAGAAGGCCCAGGGAGGACCAGCTGGGCGCTCCACTGGCATGGGTGTGGTAGGTGAGTAGTGCCCTTCCTGACCAGATGCCCCCAGACACCTGGCAGGAGTGGCAGAAAGGCCCAAATCCAGGCCCAAATTCAGTGGCCTGGGGTAAGCAGCCCCACTGCTTATCTCTAGGGTGGTCCAGGCTGTCCAGCCACACTGATGGGGTCTGGGGGACTCAGAGCAGGCACATCCTGTCCACACTCACTGTGCAACTGGAAGTCCATCTCAGTGTTGTGTGGGTCAGATGGTAGTCTTGGTATGACACTGCCTTTCTTACTTTAAATGGTCTTGCCAATGATCACCAAGCCAGGTTATACAATGAAACATTTTAAAATAAATACATAGACATCAGGAAGCATCCAGGAGAACAGTCCAAGTGATATTTCATGACGAAAGAAACGTTAAGATGTACTTCAAGAACAATGGCTTCATTAAATAGGCATTGCTTGAGGAAAAACGAATTCAAAATAAACACAGGGCTGACCTTTGCAGGAGGTTTATCGTGAGAAATTGACCTCCGTAGAACACTTCACTGTGTGGTAAGATTGCCAGGTCTCATCAGTGTAGTTAGGAAACTGATTCTGCTGAAACCTCTAGCAGGCCACAACAACAAACCAAAAAAATCAAGACAGAAAACTTGGACTAATTTATTTGATGACTACTGAATGGCAATCTGACCAGAGTGCAAAGTGCAATGAGTCCCATGGCTCAGTTTTTCTTTCAGTGCCTGTAACTGGAAGGGGCGCCTGACTTCAGGAGCAGGCAGTCTGCAGCCTCCAGACACCCAGCCAGGGAGAACGGCCTAACGCCCCTTCACAGAGAAACACCCAGCAACTAATCTTACAGCTCTCCAAGACAAGATGGTGAACCACACGAAATTTCCAAGGCTTGATAATTCTTTAGCTACAAAATATGAACTATATTTCATATAGTTCAACATAACACATACTTTTGAGGCTTGCTTTAAAGGCAAGCAAGATAGTCAAGAGGCACATGCCTTGCAGAAGGATCCTGAAAAGGACAAAGAAAGGCCTTGTCAGCAGACCGAGTGAGGCAGGGATGAGAGCCTGGCACCGAGGGTCCAACGCCTGACAAGCCAGGGCTTTAGGAAGGAAAGATGCCGTAGACTGGAGGACAAGCTCAGTTATAATCACCTTTAAAAAACTGTCCAGACTGCCTACATCTCAGAAGCACAGGATGAAGGAACAATGCATAAAAGCATGTTAAATACACCACCAAATTAAAAGGCAGAGAAAGTGGAGCCTGTAAGTATTAAGTTCATGTTAAAACAGACCCACTGCACCCACTCTGCAGAGGATCCACTCCTGTGGCCTCACCCACTCTGCACAGACAGTCTCTACTAGGGCTCTCAGCTGCTTGATGGCATTGAGATGTGGGAAGACTTCCTCTTTCTGGGACTTTTCCTCTCACTGTTGATGGTGCTGGAGTTATAAGATGCAAGCTGGACAGAAAGGGGGTGTTACACATCTGGGGTAAAACCAATTTGGTATGTGTCAGCAACTGTATTACAACCAGCCCCACCTCCTTGAAACTGTAAAATCCACACACCTGGCCCCTGCCCAGGAATAAATGATTGCACTAAATTAAAAAAACTTGACTTGCACATGCTGCTGCGTGGGAAATCCCAGGCCCAGCGGCAAGCACTGTCATAGGGAGGCCTGGTCCAAGAGTATTGACAGCAGGCCCTGGAGCTAAGCACCCTGGGTCCGTGCCAGGCTCAGGGTCCCCAGGGTACCAAGACACTGAGTTCTGCCCACCCCCAAACTGCTGGAGTAGATGTCCTTCCAGTTATTAGGGACCAGCTGCACTGCAGGGCTGGGGGGTAGCCACATGGCATCACCCTATCCTAATGGTTACTGAATGTCTTCCCCAGACCTACCAAGACCTGCTAGCACAGGACATGATCTGTGTGCAGGTTCCAGAGCCAGGGCTAAGTGCAGTCTCCAAGTGCTGGGGATGTGGTTCATGCATCCTGGGGGCAGTCCACTGGGTCAGGGACCAGTCAACACTGTGGGGGCAGCAGTGAGGACAGGAAGGCTCAGCACTGGTTCTGCTGATGTGGAGGGGCATTTTGCAGAGCACCGGACTGTTCTAGGATCACCCCACCTTTGCCTGTCAGCAGCCGCAGAGAGTTCCTTCTCCAGGTTTGGCCTGGTTTACATGAGGGCGAGTTGCTTTCTGGACCTTGGTGAATCTAGGCCAGCAGGCCCCACTCTATGGCCAGTACCACTATCCAGCTTGTAAAAAACCAGTGATCTCCTTGCAGCTTTGGCTTCTGCATTTTTTCACAGAGTCACACAACAAACCTCAGCCCCCAGCCATAAAATGATGTAGATTTTTATAAGTTTTCTGTTCTGAGACTTTAAGCCCCACTCCTCCTATTTGCCAGATTTAGGAGAAGAGGCCTGCTGGGCAGCTCTTACTTGCCTGGCAGGGCAGCAGCCACAGATGGACATAGGTGTTAAGAGTCCCCTGTTCCAACTTGCCCAGCCCCCACTTAAAAACCAAGTCATCTCTCACTTCCTTGGACTCCACAGAAGCAGGTCTGCCCTGTGCTGAGGAGATGCTGAACAAGCAGGGTTGCCTGCCCTCAGCCCACAACTCTCGTGCTGGATACAGGTGAGGTGGGGTGCAGCAGCAAGACGAGGTGCTGGGCAGGGCTGAGGTGAGGGGGCTGGGTAGCACCCTTGCCTTCAGTTCCTCATGGGTGGAGGATGGGAGGGTGTCTTTGGATGTGTATGATGCCCTGCAAAGCCCCACCCATTGGAACCAAGGACCAGTGTTTAGAAACTCTGGAGTCCTTGTGAGAGAAGCCTCCCAGAGACAGTTCTGAATGATACAGGGGAGACAAGGTACCCGGTTCATGACAGCTGTCATTTCAGTTCATTTTGCACACAAAATGTTCATGGAGGGATGGTTTTATCCATCCCTCGTCTGACCTCGTTAGTGAACTCAGTCAGGTGACAGTCAACCTCAGGAACCTCTGCACTTCCTTCGCTGAAAACTCAATTCCATTTCTCAATGTGATTTTGTAGGAAATAAGCAGCAATTCAGATGTCTTTAATTGTACTTTAAGCACCATTTCAAAATTCAAGATTCAAGATTGCTTTAAATTCACCATATCTAAAATCTCAAGGTAGTTTTTTTCCTTAAGGATATGTATATATCTACACATATACACCTGTATATTCATTTAGCTTAAAATGATTATTTATAAAAATCACCATGCAGAATAAATTTCTGGTATATGTCTAGAATAATGTCAGCCTTACAATTAATTTCTGTGTTGAGCAGATCAAGTAAATGCTTTAAAAGAAAATAGAACTTTTTTTAGGCTATTGGAAACGTTAAGTGCTTTTAGTATACTACATTTAAGCCAGAAGTTCTGAATTTACCTCTTCAGAAAATATCTAACTATGGTAAGTTTGAGAAATTAAATTTAAAATTTATCAGAGAAGATACACTGTGGCTACTGACTGTGATGTAGATGTCACCAACTGAGTTTATGGAACTGGCTAATTGTCTACATACAAGACTCATTTTCTGTGCTGTTGGCAGGCAGATAGTGTAAGTTAACAATAAGCTTATTGAAAAATTTACTGCCATTCATATGAGTTCCTGTTTGAACCTTTCAGCCAGCACGAGTCAAGAGTCGATCATTTTTACTGCCTTTGCCAAGAGTTATGTGACCATGTGCCAAAACTAACACACTACTTGGAATGGGCGGAGATGGTGAGCTCTACTACTTCAGCTTGGCCACATGCTGCCTGCGTTTAGATGAGGTGAAGATACCAAGTTGGTGCAGTCAATGAGCAAGCTGTGATGTTAGTTAATCAGTCAGGGTCCCCAAAGGTAGCACTTGTGAGGCACGGGTACCGACCTTGCTGGAACACAGGATGGTGGAGAGCAGGCAAGGGGAGCTCTTCCATGGCCGCAGGCTTGTGGAAATAGGCATCCAGCCAGGCTGCGCACTGCATGAGGGGCTCTGCTGTTCCCTCTGGACTGCTGAGAACCTCAGGAGCTGATGGGGTCTCTGAGGGGCTGCGAAATGAATAACAGGGACTTAGTAACTTCTGGGCCTGCCTCTACACACATGGAAAGCACACTTGCATCTCACTGGGCACATCAATAGCTGCTCTCTGGGTGTGCACATCTCCACCAGCTGAGCGGAAAGGCCCGACTGAGGGAGGCCTGGCTCGAAGATGCTGGGGTCATCACACCCACCCTTCTACCTCCAGGCTTATGAAGCCCAGAGAGGTCCAGAAAGGGGTTCTGAGTATCCGCCGGCACAGTGTGGAGCATAGGCAAATGAGACAGCAGGAGTGACACACAGAAGCAGCTCACGTGAGAGCGTGTCCCCTCTTTTGAGGCTATGGACCATAATCATTGAGTAATTGTTATAAAATATTCTCCAGAAACACTTCAAAATAATTGTGGTGTTTCTCACCACCCACCCCAATCAACAGCAGAGGGTGAACCTCATGCCTTGGGTGGCTTTGTGCTGCTCAGGGGAGTGCCTGAGCAAGAATTCAGCCCACACACTCCCAAGCACCAGAGCGGCTGGCCTGTGCTGGAGTCACCACACTGTCTGGTGCTTCAATGTCAGCACTATGACTTTCATCCTTGGGACATCTACTTGGTCCTTTTTCGAATCCTCCTTCATTCTTTCTGGCACCATCTCCCCTTTAATGTGCCACTGTTCAAACCCAAACATTTCAGAGCAATTCCAGGTTGTTTTGGACGCCACTGCTCATCTTCAGTGGGGTCTGTCTTCTGGGGCTGAGCTCTGCATGTTTCTGTTAAGAGAAGGGTACTTCTGGATTCTGAGCCCTAGAGTTCTGTGGCAGGTCCAGGTTTTATTCCAATTTCCCGGGACAACTGGAAGCCCAGGCACTGGGTCTGCTTTCTTTGGTGACTTTCCTTCTTTCCTGACTTCTGAGGCCCTAGGCAGACAGCACACCTGAGTATAGCTTCTGGGCCTGGCAGGCCCAGCTTCAGAGGCTCTCATTGGGGAAGAGCTTATGCCATACAGACACAAGAGGCTCCTTGAGCAGTGAGGCCAACAACCCTCCTGGGCACCCATGTCCTGTGAGGCTAGAGTGTGCTTATGTTCACACATGACAAGAGGGGATGTCTTCATTCATCTGGAAACTGGGCCCAGCACAGGTGCAGCAGGTACAGCAGTGCAGGTGAAAGGCCCAAGAGCACAAGTGAGACAGGCTCCACAGAGAGGAGCCACCTGAGGCACCTGAGGACAAGAGTGTGAACAAAGACACAGAGAAATGCAAGGTCTGGTTGCCAGATCCAGGGGCAGGGCAGGAGGGTCTCAAGTTGCAGAAAGGAGGACATGGTCTGTGTGTGTGTCAGGGCAAGAAAGTTGCTTTGTACTAGGGGCAGGAGGGATCCCATGAGTGTGATAGGGAGGGGTGTCCTTGACCAGAGGCCAGAAGGCCCTGGCTGCCCCACACAGACTGATGGTGTTAAGAACATGGCTGGATCCAGAACTCCAGAACAGGACCACATCAAGGGTTCGGTGACTGCCCAGATGTGGGCACTGCCCAGATGTAACATATCCCAGGCTGGTGCCAAGAATTGCAGCCCCAGCTCAGGAGACCAGTTTCACTTTAGCTCAGGCAGAATGGGAGGCCGGGTTGGAGATGATGTAGCCAGAATGTGTTAGAGTACCCCCTCAATCTGGAGCTCAGGTGGTGTCCAATGGTTAGTCCTCACTCTCCTGTAAGGTGGAAACCGAGCTTGTGTCCATCTACAGTCAGGACTACACAAAGACTACACAATGAGGCAAGAAGTGGAAAGCACTCATACACCTTCCTTCTAGTCACCAAAGTGACTCTCTTTCAGTTACAGCAGAAGCAAAGCTAGGTGACGGTGAAGGTGCTCACACCTCCAGCCACATACAACCTCTGTGATGAAGATGGCACAGGCTTTGCAGGTGGACATGCCAGAACGTTCTCTGTCTCAGAAAAGCAGGTGCAGAGCCAATGGAAATGACTTCTGCATCCACCAGCAGCAGTCATGCTTTTTATAAGGGACCATTCAAAGTGGCAAACCTGGGTTCTGGGGAATCTGAGACATTCCTGTGATGTTTCACTGCCATGGGAACACCTGCAGTGCCATGTGCACAAGGCAGGGCAACGCTGTGGTCAAGGTCAAGGCTTATGGGGAGAAGTTGCATTTTTAGTTTTCATACAGAGCCATGCCAGTCCACAGCAGGAGGCTCTAGTGATCTGGGTGTGCAGGCTCTTAACTCTTCTGGGCACTGCAGATCTAGTCCCACAAGAGCAGCGCTGGGAGACAGTCAGCAGGGTCTTGCGAACAGGCCTGTGCTACAGTCCAAGTGCCCCAGATGGTATGTCTGTGAGAATTCAGGGTCTCTATCAAATCCTTAGAACTTTCCAAAAATGAACTTCCTTGATTGGGTTGCACACGGGGTCTCTTCACACTATTTTCAGAGAGGACAGGAAGTTGGTCAAAGACAGTCTAAGTATGCAAACACTAGTGACCATTATAAAGGAACCAGGGAATGGATGGAAGGAGTCATTAGCTCACAGGATGACCAGTGAGATGATAACTCAGCCTGAGAATTAATCTCCATAGAGCTGGCTAATCCTGTCAACATTACAGCTGGACAGAACAGGCCCAGGGCTTTGCCAAGTGGCTGCTGAGGCCCAGTGTCCAGAGCAAGGAGCCTCAGCCTGAGCTGCTGCCTGGAAACTCTGGCTGATCCAAGGCACAGGGAGGCCCCAGGGGTGCCGGGCCTCTCCACAGGTAGAGAATGGGCCTCTCTCGTGAGTCTCTAGGGGCCGGAAATGCTGCCTTCTCATTGCCCTGATTTCTTTCCCTATTAGCAATGTCTGATTATGGAAAGAAGAAGCTCTGCCCCATGCTTGGCTTAGATATTATTCAATTTTAGAAACATATTTTCATTCTATTCTTCCTCTGTTCCTCACTGACCAAATAAACAGCGTACCTCCAATATCTGAAAGGAAAGATGGAAAACGTGTAACATGCTTTGCCATCCTGATCCAGGGGATGGTGGGAGAGGTGGGAGAACAATGCAGCAGCACAGCGGCCTCTGGGGAAAGGCAGAGGGGCTCCCCCCACCCCAAGAGCATAGCAGACAACGTGGGACCAACATCGCCTCAGGGTTATCTGTGCCTGCTCAGGCAGCCAATGAAGCTCAAAGCCAAATGCACCGACTCTCATCCAAGGACACAGGAGGGTGGGGATCACCTCCAGACCTCATGGGAAACAGCCTGGACCTGTACTTTCTGAAGCAGAGCTCAGGTGACTCCTCACAGAGCCCCAGTGGTGGGTGGGACAGGTGTAAGTCCGTCAAGCAGGCATCAATAGGCAGTGCCTCAAGGTCAAGGTCAGACTAGCCTTCAAGAGTTGTATGGTCTGGTGGGTCCTTGGGCTCCCCAGGGAAGCCAATATTCCCCATGGGAGATGGGGCATTTTAAAGAGAGATGCAGGGGCTTCACTCAGCCCCGATCCTTCCACAGAGGCACCAAGTGCAGGGCCTGCTAGGCCTCCCAGACTGCCCTCACTGGCCTTCCCTCCACCTAGCTGAGGGGACTGAAATGTGAGCTATTTCTTAGCATTTCCTGATCTTAAAAGGCTATGTGAAGATTTTTATAATAGTAAAATTCATCTTAAATTGATTTTTTATGCTTGTGCTAAAGACCTCACCTCTGATTTGCTCTCCTTTTAACTCTTTCTCCATCGGCATCAGACAGCTAGCCATGGGTGAAATGTAATTAAACAGCTTTGATTCTGAAGCAAGGATTTATGGAACTACATTTAAAATGAATGGCATTAAACACACACATAAAACCAGATTTTTAAAGCCACGACACAAATTTCCATTCCTACAATAAAATGAAATTTATTCTCCTGCCCTGCCCTCTCCTGCAGCCTTACTTGACTCTTCCTGGAAGAGCTGTGGTGTGACAGCACAGCTAACAGCCGCTCTTATGACGGAGGAGTTTCTCCAGACTTTCCTGCTGACGAACCCTGAACTCCAACAATTACGGGCTCCGTGGCCTACACTCTTTTAAATCCTGCATTCCAGTCTTAACTGCACTTCGCCTGGAACCAAAATGCAAATGTCTGTGGCCTTGGGAAAGCACTGCTGCTCAGGACACAGTGGTCCAGCCCCAGGCACCAGCCAGCAATGTGGCCAGGATGACAGCTGGGCAGGAAAGCCATACTCCAACATCAGCTGGTGATGCAGGGGGGCACTCCAGAGTCACATCCCCCTAGGCCTCTCCCAGGATGTCACCTGTCACCATAGAGTCATCTCCAGGTAAAGATGTGACAATGGAGCCCTTTTGCCATTTAACCTGGCATGAGCTCATGGCTGAAAAGGCCTCCTTGAGCTTCTCTCCAGGGAACAATGGAGAGCAGGTGTCTTAACACAGCTATGCTGGGGTCACTATCACTTACTTGGAAGGACTGTTCAAGAAATTAGCAACTGTTAGCCATCCCAGGGTCAGCGTCCTTCATGGACAGACAGGACAACAGCATACAGCATACTATCCAGGGGCCTGGGTGAGAAAAGCCCCAACCTGCTACCCTTCTGGGACTTTGGGAAAGAAGGTCCCAGGGGGCACTGCATTTCTGATTGGTTTTGATAGAAATGTCCTTGGTTTGAGCCCCAAACAGAGTAGAGACAGTGGTTAAAACGCTACAACACAAACTTGTGCCATCTGAGAAATACTCTAGGGAAGCCGTCCTCCCTTCTGGCATAGAGACTGCATTTCAAGACACTGACACTGGGAGCTCATGAAGGAAGAGGGGTGATGGAGGATGACTTAGCCAAGTCCAAGTGAGATAACCCTGGTGGACAGGACACGCCTCCACAGCATGGAAGTTCTGCCTTGCCCTCGCGGTCTTACCTCTGAATTTAGCCAAGTTAGTTAGGCACTGGGCAGAGGCCAGAGAGAGCAGGTTGTTCACTACAGGCCTGACAGCTTGCTGGCTGGCTACGCTGGGTTGAAACCCTAGCCTTGCTCAGGGTC